CTACCTCAAGCCGAAGTCGATCCAGTGTGTCCATCACGTCATCCAACTCGAACATACAGGGACGAAATCATTATGCTCCATCCGCGATCTCCCGTGGGATGACGGAGAACACGTACATCTCAGCAGGGTCTTCGCTGAGGTCAGGTCTGCCTGGACAGGATCAGCGGTACAGGCGAGATAGGGAGTCTTTGTCGACCACGAGCTCCGTCTCTATGGGGAGTTCAAACTACCGCTCGAGAAGGCCATCACGGTTGCGTCACGAGGTGCCTCGCAGTCCCGACGAAGCGAAAGTTGTCGACCTGTTCAAGTTTACCAAAAGCCGTCTTCAAGATATGCCTTACAAGACACCACAAATAAACGATGGTGTCCGACTTACGAACGATGATCTGCGGCGTCAGATGCTGAGTACAATTTTTGGATGGAACAAGGAGATCGAAGACCTGATTCGGGATGAGATGTCTCGACATCCTCTGGGGTCTACGAATCGGATTTTGCTTGCGAAGTGGCTGGGAGACATCACAACCGATATCATGGCGATGGGATCAGAGAATATGACATCGTCTGATTGGATGCTTTTGGCTCTCAGTGGCATTGGGGGACAAGCATCACAGCACAAGCTTGGGCGAGCCTATGTGCAGCGGTTGTTGGAAAGCGGCGATGTTCATGCGGCGGCAACCATCATGATCGGATTGGGCGACCACAACGATGCTATTGAGATCTACGTCTCCCACAAGAAGTACATGGAGGCCCTGATCTTGACCTGCCTTTTCTTCCCGTCGACTTGGGAGCGTCAAGTCCAGATCGTGAGGAAGTGGGGAGAATGGGCTGTACAACATGGACAACAGCAACTCGCCATCAGATGTTTCGCCTGCACCGGCCACGAATCCACAGAACCATGGACGTCGCCTTCAGCACAACAAATCACCTTCGGAAGCATCTCAGCGAATGTCAACGAGGTCACCAGCCCCCCACTCTCGCCCCCTGCCAGAAACCATGGCCCTCAACGGAGCGTTGCAAAGAACTCAGCCCTCAAGCTCATTACCACCTTTGGAGAAAACAAGTCGAAATTCTTCTCTGGGCTCGATGACGGTAGGACTCCTATTGCGGCAGTGGCCACTCCAATGATCCAGTCAGCCCTTTCACCTGGCGGAGCTGACCCTGCTACTGCCGTTTTACGGATAACCGGAGTCAGTTCAACACCCCCTCATCTGCGCGCCCGCCAAATGGCGGTTTTGGTCGACATCGACTCCCATCCATCGGAGAGGCAACCCAGGACAACCGCGAGCTTTTGACCGCAATCAGCAAACCGGCCGGTGATCCCTACGCAAATATAATGGCTTTTGAGGTTTCCGATAGCAGAACACGGGGTTACGACTTGCCCAGAGCACAAACTGCCAGCCCTCGTATCTTCAAGGATACCAAGGCACCTCCGCCTCCTTCTCCCTCACCGGCAGCCGTAGCGGCGCTGATGGAAGGCAGACAAAGAAGGAATGGGTCTCGCAGCCGCATCCCAGAAGGCCTAGACCTATCTTTGCCTGTGTACAATGACACGCGCCATGATGAACCGAGCTCCCCTGAACAGTCGGGGAATTCGATTTCAAACGTACAGTATCACTGGCCATCTAGGCGTAAGGGGCCAGGCTCTGTGGCCAGCTCTGCGACATCTGCATCTGCAACATCTAGCGTTCGAGGCTATCGCAGTAATGTCCCAGGCAAGAGTATGGATAAGTACTACAATAGCCTCGAAGCTGCTGGAAGTGCTAGAAACGCCAGAGGAACCAGCAGAGATGGTCGTGGCAATGGCCGCGACACAAGCCGTTCACGCAGGAACGACCGCGACTTGTCCAAAGACCGCGGTAGAGGGTCATCTAGGGGTTACACGCCCAAGGGTGGAAAGAGATCTCCAAAATCTCCAGTTCCGATGTCTCCCGAAGACTTGATCAACCTTGCTACTCCTCGGGAAGACCTTGAGCAGCTCGGCTACGGTAAAGGGCGTCTCATTGACTTCTCGGATGAGCAAGACCAGCTCAGCGTCGTGAAGAAGGTTGCTGCTCGACGTGAAACATCCAGGGTACGAATGGCAAGTCGTGGTGCCAGCAGAAATGGCCGCAGCTCGAGCCGCGCGCGCAGTTCCGAGAGACGCAAGCCCCCAACACTCGACCTTCGCGGCCGTGAAGCCAGCCGCGAAGGTTCCAGACAGAGATCGCCATCCTCCCCAGTGCCCATGTCAGGTCAGGCTGCGCATTTTTATGGCTCAGAGGATGAGGAGGATTACAGAAGGGCATTGGAAGACCGTGAGAAGTTCCGTCAAAGGCACAACCGGAGTGTAAGCAAAAACGACAGAGGAGAGAGCATCGCATCACCGATCTCCAGTCGAGGTCATGGCTGGGGTGGCCGTGAGAGGTCCACAAGTCGCCAGAGGTCAGACAAGAGGTCGGAAAGCCGTCAAACAGATCGCAGAAAGCGCATTCCTGCCCCGATGCCCACGCCTGCCCCGATGCAGCTTGTTACGGACAGTTCAGGTGACTTGAAAGTCATGATGAATGAGAGACAACTGAAGAAGGAGCAGGCACAGCGTGAGCTTGAAGAACGTCGGAGGTCACTTGCACGAAGACCGTCCGCTCCTCCGATTCTGCATCCCGATGAGCTTACTCCTGCCCGGTTGGATACTGTCATGGAGTTGCCGAGCACCGTCTTTGTCCCCCCTAGGAGAGAAGATATGCCAGCACGCAGTGCGAGCGTTGACCCTAGCTCTCAAGGTGCTGGAAGGAGCATGTATGCCAGCATGAGTGCCAATCGTGGGCCATCGATTGGTCTTCCTGCCACCCCGAAAGCTATGCGCTTGGTTCTTGGTTCGGACGCCAGCAGGAACAATGTGCCCGTTCCCGCTATCCCCGCGAGCTTTCAACAGACGTCGGCCGCAAACTCTAACCAGGCCTCGGCCGATAAAATATCGCAGAGGCAGGTTGAGCTCAAGCAACAAGAGATCGAACCGCCGATGAAGAGTCCTGCAATGCTGCTTCCGTCGACCGTCTACACTCCACCCCCATCATCATTCAATCGACCACCCATTCAGAGGTCCATGTCTGCTCCTCCTCAAGACCTTGTGCCGCCTCAAGCAGGTGCCTTTGGTAACCTGAGGGGCTTCCATGCACAAAAGCCCAGTGTAGGCGGAGAACCGAGGCCTATGATGGGTCGCAGGCCATCTCATGATGCTGGCCGAAATGACGGGCCCATCCCTCCCCCTCCTCCTCCTCCACCAGTGCCGCCCATGCTCAGGGAGCTTCAGCATCTTGCTGCTCCTCCGCCGCCGCCACCTGCCCCGCTTCCTCATCTGGCCGGTGCTAAGCCAGCGGTATACGGAGGTAGCTTAGGGATGATCGAGATCGTCATGGATGACGACCAACCACAACAACCACCTCAGCAACCGCAGCAACAGCCCCCTCCTCCACCGCAGCTACTGCCATCTACCTCCTACACGCCCGTCCTGCCATCTACATCATACACTCCCGTCAACACGGCCCCCATTCCCAAGGAAATCGTGGTGCCCATCCTCTCTCCTCCCGCACCCTCCTCGCGGAACGGACACGCCCGTGGTCGCAGCAGCATCGACAACAGCATCGGCGGTCGCATCTCGCGTGTGACAGAGCGTATGCGATCAGCTAGCCGTAGCAGAGGAGCGATGAGGGACAACCAGACTGCTCCGATGGTTGCTCCGTATGAGAGCGTGCCTTGCCGGTATGCCGCAAGGTATGAACTTCCAGATGCGTGCTGCTGCCGCTGCCGCTCAGCAGCAACCGGGACAGAGCGAGTTTAAGACGGGATTGCATCATAGTGAGATGATCTGAGATGGATGGGCGGGTAGATGGATGAATGATGTGGCATGGCATTGTGGTTTCTGTTTCCTTCTCGGCTTTACTTGAAACTTTGTTTCTTCTTTCTTTTCGATTCTTGACCCTCGTGAGTCTGCATGGCGATTGGCGTTAGCTTATTGGTCTCACCATAACACCTTTTCGATGCGGTTCGTTGCTTCTTGGGACGGAAACATTAGGGGTTGGTTATGTATGTTTGCTTGGTGAAAAGACGATACCTTGATGGTTTTTATTTTATTTCTGTTAGCACACACACCTTGATATGTGCACAGCCTTGTTTTTTGGATAGTGTTGTTCTTGCCATGCCACATGCCTCTTTGGTATGGGTGGCGTGGTCAAGAATAGGCAGACGGCTAGTACAAAGGTTGATTGAAGTTGGATGGGAGGATAGTGTTTAAAAACAGAACTATTTTTTTCTGGCAATGCTCTCGCTGAGTGATATCCAGCCGCTCGTCTCTCGTGTGTCCATGTTCGCCGTTCCACCCTCATTCTCATTGACCCCCATCCTGCCGCCTTTTATCGATCCCATCAACATCACCAAACGAACTAGTGGAAACACACACAGGTAATGTGATTACTTGTCAACACAGCCTCATCTGCATGGGTACATATACAATCTAACGCTGGTTTGTTCGTTAACTCGGTACTCTTAACATACTGGATGAGATCGGTTCTAATCTGTCCCAAACCTTACGGAGACAAGACATATTCTAATTATGGATCAGAAAGGTGTTAATAAGATCCAAGAAGGCATATCAAAATTCCAAAATAGCACATACAAAGTGGGTTCATGCCTTACATAGTTATAGAGCGAAACGGTTCAGTTAGGTATATCAACGCCTGGCGAAGTTGACCAGAGGTCTCGAGCTAACAAACAAACCAGTATCGGACTGTACAACCTCATCGTCCAATGTTTAACAAACCCCCAAGGCAGAAAAATGCAAATGCCACCAAAACATAAAAGCATACCAGCAGTACAATGCTCGCTTTAACTCGCTTGCTACTCCATTAAAATGCAGAATACACAACGAAACATCCACGTTTTTGCTCGACTGGGATAATAGAACCAAACAAAACAAAACAAAAAACGCCAAAAACACCAGTAACAAACCCCAAGGGCTCAGCAGTTCAGTAGCTGAGTAAGTAGCTCAGTCCTTCAAGGATATCAAGACTGCTTCCAAGCTTTCTAGCCTTGACTCCTTGGATAACCTGCTCGGGGCGAAGCTTCTTGTCGTACTTCTTGTACTTGTACTCCTCATGCTTCTCATTGAGGATGTGGATGACGAGGACGATTGTATCGATGACAACGATAACAGAGATGGACGCGGAGAAGGTGGGAGGCTGAGCAGGGGCGAAGATGTGCCACTGCCGCTGCCGCTGCCGCTACGACCGATGGGAAGACGAGACTTCTAGTCTTCGGATTCCTTGGGCCATAGTCTGTTTTTTGGGAAGATGAGATCGTTAGTACTTGCAGGGCAGGTAGAGAACACAGGACTGGCAAAAAAAAATAGGGAAGAAAAGAAAGGCAAGACTTACAACTCCTTCCTCCATATACACTCCAACATGCGCCAAAACACCACGATCCACACCAGGATGATACACCCCGTCAAGACACACCCGAGTATCTTGAGCCCATCGCTCTCAAACGCTTTTCCAAGTTGCTCCGTAGCCGTCACCAGCGCCGTGTTGGGAAACACAAACGAGAACCACGTCATCTGGAACTGCAGCTTGCTCTTTCCCTCCGGCCTCAGATACTTCCACAGTGAACCGACGCTCACCAGAAAGAACCAACAACTCAAACCCCAGAGCCAGATGCCCGCCATGTAAGCCAGGATGCGCAAGATGGAAATAGCGACACCGCCCTGCGTACCTAGAAAGTCGGCCGGGACGAAATCGGGGGCGGAGTTGGCGAGTTGCACCAGTCCCGCGGCCGTGAAGGCGCCGGGACCGATGGAGATGAAAACACCGGGCCGTTGGTAGTCGCGCGGTAGCTTCTGGGTCATGAGGCGATAGAGAAAGGCGGCGCAGATCATGAAGGAGATGAGAAAGCCGGTGCCTTGGACGGCGACAGAGGCGAGGGCGATGGAAATGGGTTTGATCTCATCCGTGTGGCCGGCCTTTACCGAGGCAGCGATCAGGTTGGCGCCGTAGGGAGCTGTCAACAGGAGCGGGTAGGCCGGGAAAACCCAGACCGGCGTCATGGTGTGGATTGGGAAGACGGTGGTGGACCAAAGGAGTAAGTAAAGGAAGGCGGAGATAACAAAGCTCAGAGCAAGATATATCCAGAAGATTATTTCCATGGCTTTGACTAGCCAGGAACCCGTGTTGGGGATGCCATATTGGCAGATGGTGATGAGGATCGTTCCGACTCTGGGGAGGGGGTTAGTTGGTAAGATAGATGACAACGGGCAAATGGGGAGTGGGAGGGGTCGAGATGGTGTATACATACGAGACAATCTTAACTTGAAGCGTTAGTATCAAGGACTATTTGTTGAAGGAGCTGGGATATCTCCGCAGAGTAATGAAGTAGAACTTACGATTGAAGAAACGAAGAGTGACTCCGTCTGGTCATTGAGTGAATGCAGGAAGCTGCCGGTGGTCCAAAGGAACCGAAGTGTGATGCAAATACAATTTACCGTGAAAAGAACAAGGTTAAGAAAAAAGAAAAAGAGGCCAACGCCCGTCAACCACTGACTCCTATATGGTACTGTGATGCTCGGTCCGAGTCAGAACGTTGCTCACTCTTCCCCATGATGAAGAAGACAGAGAGAATAGGATGAACCTACTCGAATAAAGAACATTGGCAACACCGCCGGTGGCCATAGTCATGGTGAACCATGTCCACCGATAACAAGTGATGCGATCCCTGAGGCTCACTTTGCGCTTCGACAGGTTACGCCCCTTGTTAAGTATGTCATCCATGCTCGCCTTCATAGGGCTGTTGCCACCACCATTTGGACGACGGGATGCCGAAGAATTCGACCAAGAGGGTCCGGAGGCTCCGGGTCGGTGGGGAGCTGGGTCCGGCGTTATATAGCCATCTTCAAGTTCGGACGGGGACTCATATCCGCAATAGCTGTGGAGCGGAGGAGCCAGTGTTGGCCTGGAAAGATATGATACGTTTCGTTGAGGTTGTTGTGGTTCTGGGGCCGATATGCTCCGGGGTAGAGGATGGACCGGTGGCTCGGAGCCGGAAGCTACCGGAGACGGGGACGGGGAGGTAGTGGTAGTAGTGCTATCGGTGGTTACTGTTGTTACACGAGCAGTACTGCTGCTGCTCCGCCAGGCTTGAAACATGCCGACAACAGGCGGTAGATCAGGTAAAGCGGTTCGACGTAATTAGGCGCGCCAATGAGATCCAGCTGCCTGTTGTTGTTGGAGATATTGACCAGGGAAACAACGAAGACGATCAGGTCAAATATGGTCTCTGCCACCGGCGGTCGTACGGACATGTTCTTTGTATGGGATCGGGGGCGTGCCAGGGACGGAGGCACGCACAAACAAGGGGGTGGATGGTATTATATGATGGCGTATGTAGTAAGGTGACTGGAAAAGTTGAGTGATCGGCCTGGGAACTAAAGGGCCACCCCTGTAATATCAAGGGACCTGATTTTCTCCCAAATGTTCGATGGTTGCTTTCTGCTCCTGGGGAAATCTGGGTAACCGTTTCGGTTGTCCAGTCCGTCCAGTCCGTCCAGTCCAGTCCGCTCTTCGTCCACCACTTGACCACCACCTTGACAGAACGACGGGAGGCCCGGCTGGGCTTTCTTGGTGCACCAGTAACACCGGGGTAGTCGCTAGCCACTATTCTCGAAGCAGGCTCGTCGAGTGTCAGGCTAGAAGATTTAATTTCCTATCGTGGATGATACTACCCCTTCGCTTGGGTAGAGTAATGTTCCAGAGTTGATGCGGTGTGTGTAAAAAGGTGTGTCGGGTGTGAGTGGTCTAAGGGGGAAAGTTCCAAACCAGAAGAAAGGGAGATCGGCATCCTGTATAGGCAGTGTAAGTCCCCTGTCCAGCCCCGCTGCGCATGTTAAAGCTTTGCCCTTGCCTTTTTTACATATCTATTTCCATGTCCTTTTTGCACATGATGAGAAGGAATTCCAGATTTTTCTGCATAAATCTTTTTCAGATCCTGTTACATGGACTTTTTCCCCCTCTTCTTACAGTTTGAGAAGGAAAAAAAGGAGTCTACAACAGCCTAAGCCTAAGACGTCAAGTAACAAGCAGAAAAGAACGCTACCACTAACAGCACCCCCCTCAACGACACCTAGCCACATGGCCACGCTTCAAAGACAAACATGACGACGGCTTCCACGACCAACGTCATAAGTACTCACTTTGCGGCACCCCACCAAAGAGCGTAATGGGCAATGCAAATAATGATTCCAAAAAAAAACTTCTTTCTAGAACTTCACATTAACTTGTATTGCAGTGCGGCAACCGAACACCAATGAGCAACTTGAACGTCTTGTTTTCTCTCCGAGAGATGAACACACACAAGAATACATGACCCTCGCTATGATGTAGGCAAAGACCCTTGGCCCTTCTTGAAAGGGTTCGTTTTTTGTTGGCGCACGCAATGGCATTGCCGCATTCCCGCTGTCAGGTTAGCCTGCCGTGCATGCATAGGCATATCCGATCCTGTAACCGACATAAACAAAAGAGCGACGAAATGTCCCCCTCCTGAAATCCTAATGGTGTGCTTCCGCTTCTCTTGGCTCGCTCTCGGCTTGGGATCGGCACGGATAACTGTGCCGAAGGAGGGTATCCCGTGCCGGCCGTGAAGAATTTGTTCTTATGGTGAACAAAGCTTTTGAAAAGGATTCACATGTTCTCATTCTAAAGCCATTTTTCAAATAAAATGTTGTTTAACATCCACTTCCTTCACGAGCTGACGATGTCGTCTGTGGTCAGTCAACACAAGACGTCAACCCATGTCGTACGACCTTGAAGTTGTGAACGGACGTGCCGCCACCATAAGATGGAAGCAAGAAAGGTTACACGATCTTTCGTCTGGTAATACCCCTGGGCAGATCTTGTATCGCTCGCATCAGATGAAGAATGCATACTAATGTATGGTACATTGTCATCTACGGCAGCCAGTCTGCCAGTTAGTTGATTCTCCAACATGTTGTCAATGTCCACTTCTCAATTCAAGGGCGTTGGTTAATCTCCGGTTGTTATTTGGTTAGCATTTCTCCATCGAACGCCCATCGGCTTTCTCTGGGAAAAGAGACCTCGGGTGCACGTGTACAAGTTTAAGCTAACTCTTGCACATTGCGAGACGGCGATGCTTACCTGTGAGAAACCTCCGCCAACTGAGGAGTTGGCTATGTTTGATATCACAAAGGAAGTCCTAACAGGTGACGACTACTTTACGAACCGTCGAAAGGTGTAGATACTCACCTGGTTCGGAGATCTGTGAAGGGGTCACCGTCATAGTGTGGATCTCCGAGGAACTCGAGAATGATACCACAAGGCGGTACTCGCACGAGACAGGATGCGCATGCATGGCTGTACCAAGTAGTAGTACACCACTTTGTTCTCCTTCTCCCTAGTGACACATAGAAGTACGAGGCATGGCTGAGTTTCCGTGTTTTTGTGCTTTTAGTTGCAACCAAGTCTAAAAAGCAGTCGAGACAGCAAACCAACCATCCACTACGTCGTTCCATCATCTCAAAGATATCAACTTTTCTACCCCAAGCCCGCTGCTTCCTACTCACCCTCGTTGGAAAGGAATCCCGTATGTGTTCCGTAAAACGCCTTTCGAAATTCGATCTGTCTCGTCATCTCGGAGACCTCACTCTGTATAGCCTCCAGATGTGATGGATATAAGTGTATTCTTTTTTTTTGTTTACCCCCGTGGAAGTGCAGCCCCAAAAAACTGGAAAACGAAAACGCCGAATATGATAATCGAGAAAATGCTGATCATGTCTGTCCAAGGTTGTATATGCAGTTTTACTCGTAGTTGAAGAGTACGCTGATCGATTCACCGTGGTGGACGCGGCGGATCGCCTCGGCGAAAATAGGGGAGATGTCCAAGACGTCAAGCTTGGATCCAAGCTGCTTCTTGTGCTCGTCCTGGGGAACAGAGTTGGTAACGACCAACTTGTCAATCGCCGAAGCCTTGACGCGGTTGATAGCGTCACCGCTGAAGACACCGTGAGTCAACAGGGAGTAGATGGTGGTGGCGCCCTCCTTCTTAAGGAGCTTGGCAGCTCTGGTGATGGTGTTGCCGGTATCGGCAATATCGTCGAGCAAAATGCAAACGCGGTCAGTAACGTTACCCACGAGCATCATGCTAGCGTTCTGGCGATCGGTGATCTTGGTAGGACGGCGCTCCTGTGATTCTTTGTTAAGTGGTAATCCAGTGGGGAGAACCGTAGAGGGGGTTTACCTTGTGAATAAGGGCGAACTCCATGCCCAAGCTGTCCGCAATGGCAGTCGCGCGCTTGGCGCCACCGGCATCAGGGCTGATGATGACGGCATCCTTCCAGTTAGGAATGTGCTGCTGGATGTAGCGCTTGAGAAGCGGTTGTCCGTAGAGGTTATCGACAGGGACATCGAAGAATCCTTGGACTGTACGGGGTACGAGTTAGTCTACTAGCCGTGGCCAGCGTCATGGGACGAAGGGACAAAGAATGCGCGACTACTAGCGCAAGTGTGCTCGTATGTGTTTCATCGGTACTGGGTTACGTACCTTGAGGGTCGTGGAGATCCATGGTGATGACTGACGGACAAAAGTTAGCACCTAATCCCTGTACGGAAACAATCTCTCGCGTCGCATCTCTGTCGCGACTGATATATAGGCTCGGGATCGTTCGGACCATGGCCATTGAGGGAAGGACGTACCATGATCGCAGCCAGCGCAGGTCAAAAGGTTGGCCACAAGGGTACCCGCCTGCGCAACCCACTGCTTGTAACCGGGCTTGGCCTGGAAACCGTTGACAATAGAAAGGTTCTCATAGTCATGGGTAGTATACTGCTCCTTGGAGCTGCCGTTTGTCAGGGCGTTCTTGATCATCTGGTTGGCGATGTCGGAGCCATTGATGAGGCCGGAAGTCTTGGGCACGCCGGGGCCGGGGGTGGGAGGGACACTGTCGAAAGTGTACTCCTTCTTGCCGTTCTCGCCGTTGGGGGTGGGCGCCTTGTACAACGGAGCGCCGGCCTTGTTGTAGGGCAAGTCGGGTTGCCTCGAGTAGGGGAACAAGGGAAGGACGGCGGTGACCCTGCGCGCAGAACCAGTCTTGCAGGCAGAGATCATGATGCAGAGGTCCATGAAGTGGTCATTGAGCCTGCTGCCGTTGCCACCGAAGCCAGTCTGAATAATGTAGACATCCTTTCCACGCACGGAATCCTGAATCTCGCAGCGACTTTCGCCAGAGGAGAACTTGGTCAGGATTCTGCTGCAGGCGGGCAGGCCGAGAATGCCACAGACGCTCTCCACCAACTCGGGGTGGGAGTTACCACCGAGGACGACAATGTTGCGGACCATGTTGCACTCTTGATCTTGCGAACCGTCGGGGTCGCACGTACACTGAGACGAAGGCGGAGGAGGAAGTGCGACGAAGGAGGTGGCGTCGGGGTGGACGGCGGCGGCAGGTGGTGGTCGCTGGATGGCCGGAGGGGACAAGCCCGGGAAAGAAAGGAAAGCAGTGCCACGGTAGCGTTGGGTAGTGCGAGGCTCTTATGCGCCACTAGCCGTAAGGCAATGGGCAAGCTGACTCCTCAAATGTCGTGCTGGGCCGTCGGAAGGGTCGTGCTCGGTTTTTTCCCCGGTTCTGGGAAAAAGAATTTGCGCCGGTATATTTTCAACAAAGAGTTTTGGAAAAGCCGAGCAATAGGCGAATAAGAATCCGTTCCGAGTCAATGGGTGACGGTCTAACGGGGTCAGACTCTAGAACTCTAACAGCAGCAGCTAACAAAGTTGCGGTGCAAGGCAGAGGATGCGGGGACCCAAACGTACAGAGTCAAGGAATACTTGAGGTTCCTGGGGAATTAAAGAGGAAAAACAGGAAGTGGGAGAGCAGAGTGGGGGAGAAAGAAGAGGCGATCATCACAGCGAAACCATCCTGAGTAAGGTGATGAGTTAGAGAAACCAATTTATTAACAAGGAGTCTGCATGGAGCGAGGTCAGTCTCGTCAAAGCAGCGCCATACTTGGTGTTAGTGTCAAACATCGCCCACCAGGTTGCCTTGGTATGTGCGGTGGTGGTCGCAGTGGATGAAGGCCTGGGGTCGTTGCTGGGTTGGGGCACGCCCCCAGGTCCTTCGCTAGCACACAAAAAGGCACAAGGAAGTCACAAGAGTGTCGCGCTGTCGAGAACCTCACACAGGACGAGAACGGATCCTTCAATCGATATGTGTGGGAAAAGTTTTTCTGGTGGACTCAGTTGTTGGACATGACATGTGAAGCATGGAAGCGTGTTTGTCCCCACAGTTGCTTGAAGTTCATAAAACCATCTCCTCTGCTGTTTTCGCGTCTCATTCAAGTTGCGAACAGAAGTGAAGACGTGCCTGCCTGTTTCAAGACAAATTGTACGGTCCTGCCCAGAAGGTTCTCTTCTCTGTGACTCCGTCACCGCACCCGTGCCGCGTGCGAGATTTTTTTTTCGGAGCATGTGCAATTGGATGCATCTGGCTGCAGCGACGGCTTGACGCTCCATGGTGGGGCAAAGTGCAAACTGCGTGTAAATGATTGGACAGGAACGCTCAATGTCCAGAGAATGCGGCTGCCGCTGCGGTCCGTTCGCGACTTCTTCGTTACAATGGCGGGGCACGAGTCCATGGCAGGAACTGCAAGTGCAATCGCTTGTGAAGTTGTCAATGGGGACCGCCCACTGACAACTGATCATTCACCGTAACGGACGGACCATCAAAGGCTTGCTCCTCCACCAACTTTTTCATCACCACATTACCAATCGCCAGGTCTAGATCACCTTTTTTTTTACGAACACCATTTGCGTCATATTTTACACAAACACACGACTATCTAAACACGTCTTACGCTTTCCCGAAAGCAGTCGCAATCCCATCCCGCCCAGGCTACAGGTGGTCACCAGCAAACAGTCGGCGCAAGACGTCCCTTCTCACTCTCAGCCCTATCAGATAGTCTTGGCCCGTCAACAAGCCAGTCCAAGCCGACACAATGAAGATCCTTGAAGGCCAAAGCAACCTGATCTCAAACCATGAGGTCTATGAGCATATTCTGGAGCAACAGAAAAAGAACAGATCCAAGAACAGAAGAGTGCCTCCCAACCAGTTTACTCTCACTAAAGATGTAAGCAAGCCTCCATCATGGCTAATATGAGCATGCCCAAAGCTGACCCAGACCAGCTCTTGACCTATCTCCGAACCAAGCCTGGCCCGTTGGCAAACCAGGACCAGACCCATCAGTACAGCACGGAAGCGTTGTATGAGCTGTTCAAGAAGCTCCGTGAGGCTAACCTCCAAAGTGACCTCTCGAAGGGCGAGATGCTCATGATCGTCAACCTCCGGCCCACCAACATTGCAGTTCTTAGCACGGTTGTTGAGGATATGTTGGAGCGTTTTACCGAGGACGAGCAGCAAAAGATCATCGAAATCATTACCGAGACCCTCGGCTCTGACGAACCTGCAGAGGCCGCGGATGGAGAAGAGTACGATAAGGACGCAGCACCCTCCATTGAGAACTCTTGAACGGCCGGCCATAACGACAGCTTCCAGTAACTTACAGGATCACGCATCCTGCTTCGCTTTGCCCGCCCTCGGAAGTTATCGTCCGCAACGCCGTTGTACATATATCGTCAAACACCTCTTCCAGCAACTCGCCAGTCACCGCAGAGCATTCCATGTACTTGTCTGACCTCATCTCTTGCGCAATGCGATACGCCTCCTGCGGGTAGATGATGCCGTTGGGGTCATCTTCGGATCGCAGATCTCGCTTGAGGCCCAGCATAAGCACCGGGGTTGTGTCACCGGTTACGCCCGCTGTCCGAGCCTCTTTGTTCCACTGCGCAATGTATCAGTTTGTCGAAGGATTCGGTTCAACCTAGTTGGGGTGGTCACTCACCACTCTTTGGAGGTTGATTAGACTAAGCCCCTGGCTAATGTCATAGCAGAGGATGACTAGGTCGGGTCGAAGAAGCCTCCAGCTTTCTGGACTCGAAGTGTCGTAGAATTCGAACCGATACTCCCCGCGGCGAGTGCGGATATCAAAGACGAAGGGCTGATCGAGGTCCCTGAGAAGGGTAATGGAAACTCTACCTTTCAGGCTGTGGCGACCTCTGCTGATTCGCCTGTATGGGTGTCAGTGAACTGGCTTGGCTTGTCTTGTCTTGAGCTGGAATAGTGGGCATATGTAGGATTAAATGCAGTGTACAGCTGTATCATTCAGGATATTCACTGACGATAGAAAGGTTGACTTTCCGCATTTCTCATCACCAAGGAGAAGTATCGTGATCGCTTGTGACTCCATGACGAACAAAATGGGGCCGCGACGATAAAATGATGAAATTCTTGAAAGACAATAATTTGCTTAACAGTCAGTTGCAAGATGCTGTTCAGCCTGTTCTTTGCGAGTGACCTTGTCAGCTCACAGATGGGAGACTCAGGAGAGAGCGATCAGTTATCGATAAGATAACAACCCTCTGAGGTGCCTGCCGACGGGACGGGAGCGTGCCAGCAGCCAGATGGAAAGTCCTCGCCAAGACATTTGTCCCCACAGTATTTTGAGAAACTCCATGCGGGCACACGCCGAGACCCCGTCGATGAGACGACTCAGACTTCAAGTCATTGCCTTTTTTGCGCGGATCGCCCGTTTTGCATCTCTCTCACAACTCAAGGGCCGGTATATCAATAACATGGGAGTTTTGTGTAAGTTTGCGCGAACTTGATCACAAAGTTGGTATGTCTAAATCAGTAAAACATGCAAAGCGGCTGCTAACCGACCAACCAGAAAATAATCTGGTTTTGAGGAAAGGGAGACACTCATAAACACAGCCAATTGCATGAGTAGTTCGAGGTCCGTTTGGACACTTGATCTCCTGAAGGCACGTGGCAAGCCCATCGGTGTTGGTGCTGGAATATTATCCAACCCGATTATCGGGGATTTCACGTCCAAGCTCAACAGGAATACCAAGGTCCAACTACGGACGTTCGCACAAGGACCAATTATCCTTTCACAAGAGGCGACCAAAATGGCGCCCAAACCCGCAAACTACGATCGGTGGCCCAAGGAGAGCCTGGTCAAGCGGATACAAGAGCTAGAGGAGGAGCTGAGGAGGCAAGGGCTGGCACCGGAGGTCCAAAGGCAGGAGAGGGCGGAGGAGAGGGCCCTTGCCGCCGCGGTAACGTCGACAGAAGCCGACCTGAAGGCTGCCGAAAAGAAGAAGAAAAAGGCCGCCAAGTTTGACCCGGGCAAGTACTCGACCCGCTTGATCGCCCTTAAATTTGCCTACCTCGGCAAGAACTACAATGGCTTCGAGTATCAGTCGTCGGCCAAGATGCCGAGCATTGAGGAGGAGCTGTGGAAGGCGCTCGTCAAGAGCTGTCTGGTTTTCCCTGAAAGGCCAGACGAGGTCGACTTTGGACCATGGGAGTACTCCAAGTGTGGACGCACGGATAGGGGCGTCAGCGCTTTCGGTCAGGTTATCGGTATCCGAGTGAGGAGTAACAAGCCGCTGCCAAAGGAGGAGCCAGAACAGACTGGAGGAAATGGCGGAGACGATGTGGTCATGACCGAGCCTCAGCAGCAAGAAGCCGAGAAGGCCACCGACGTAGAACACCAAAAGCCGGAGTGGGATCCCATCGCCGACGAGGTCCCCTACTGCCGGGTTCTTAACCGGCTCCTACCCCCGGACATCAGGATCATGGCCTGGGCGCCGGCTCTCCCTCCCAACTTCTCCGCACGCTTCTCCTGCCGCGAGCGGCAATACCGGTACTTCTTCACGCAGCCCGCCTTCGCGCCGATGCCCTCCTCCCTGGAGCCTCTGGCAAAGAAGCAAGAGAAGCAAGGCTGGCTCGACATCGGCAAGATGCGGGAGGCCGCCAAGATGTTCGAGGGCGTGCACGACTTCCGCAACTTCTGCAAGATCGACCCGGGCAAGCAGATCACCAACTTCAGCCGGCGCATCTTCGAGTCCGACATTGTCGAGGTGAAGGACGTCGAGTCCGACCTGCCGTACCTTGGCCTGCCGGAATTCCAGCCGCTCGCTGGTGGCAGCGAGGGTTCGCACCCCAAGGTGTACTACTTTCACGTGCGCGGCTCCGCCTTCCTGTGGCATCAGATCCGCCACATGGTGGCTGTCCTCTTCCTCGTAGGCCAGGGCCTCGAGCCGCCTTCCATTGTCCAGCAGCTTCTCGATGTGGAGAAGAACCCGCGCAAGCCGAACTACGTCATGGCCGATGAGGTTCCTCTGGTCCTCTGGGACTGTATCTTCCCCAAGCTGGCGGAAGAGGAAGCCGGCGCCGTTCCCGGTACCAGCAGCGGTGATGGCAGGGACTCGCACAACCCGGAAGCCGAGGGCGATGTCGAAATGGTCGACTCCATCGACTGGGTCTGGCAGGGCGAGGACGACCCGATGAGCCTGTACGGCGCGCAGGGCCTGGTGACGGAGCTCTGGGGCACCTGGCGCGAGAGGAAGATGGACGAGATCCTGGCGAACCGGTTGCTGAACTTTGTGGCTACGAAGCCGGATATCGAGAGGAGGTTGATCACCAAGGGCGCTCCATCTGCGCCACCCAAGGGGATCAAGAAGGTCTACGAGGGAGGAAACAAGGCCCAGTTCAGAGGCTCGTATACCACGCTGTTCAAGAGGCAGCTGTTGGCTTCGGCGAAGGAGGTCAATGACAAGTATGCGCAAGGGTTTGGGTTCAAGGACGCGGAGGAGATGACGCAGACGAAGAACTGGAGGAGCGCGATCAGGGAGCAAAAGGATAAGAACAAGAAGGGTGGGCGGTCGAAGAAGGCAGCGGGCGCAGAACCGCCTGTTGAGGGGTCTTCTAGTTGAGTTGCTTTAGGTTCATGATACCAAAAATGTAAGAATCATTATCTTTCGGCTTGGCAGTCAACGGAGGAAGAACTAGTAGTCTTGCTCCATATTGTGTGACTCCGTATTGTATAAGTTCCACGTCTTTGGCAGCTATCCAGGAGAAGGAGGAAATATCATTCCACGAGAGCCTTCAAGAGTCTTTGACGATATTGGGAGATTGGGAGCGTTCTCGCATATTTACGTACTGAGGACAACAGCATTTGTCCCAAAAAGGCTTTCAAGGTGCTGCTGCTATTCGCTAGGATGATGCCTATGGAATGTTAACAGAAAAGCAAGTAACAGTGGTATATAGGAATGGCAGATGATCTAAAACCATTAAGTAAACAAAAACGCCCGCTCCGCTTCTCAGCAACTTTGTAACCAGCTTCTTGTTAGTTCGCCCGTGTACAGAAGCGAACTACCCTTTCTCGTTTCCCCCTCTCCAGTTCCCATTATGTGTACTCCCACCTCCCGCCCCAGCGCTCATCACCGGTCCATCCTTCTCATACAAACACCCCCTCGCGCCCCGCCACACCCTCTCCACGATCTTCCGTCTCGGCAACAGTCTCGGAAAGCAAACCACCACATCCTCCTCGCCCTCCACCACAATCACCAGGTAGTACCGGACCTCAAACCCTTTGAACGCCTCGTTGATCAAGATATCCTGGATCTTCTCCGTAGGAATGAACCGCGTCCTCTTCATGTACGTGCCGCCCCCCAGACGAAAATACCCGCCGCCGACGTTGCTCGACATCTGGATGCCCAGCCCGCGCAGGACTAGGAGGGATTCGGTGGTGTGGATGCGGGCAAACAAGGCTATGTATGCCGTTATTGCTGAGAGAGCGAGGACGGCGTAGGGTGGGAGGGAAGTCGCAAGAGAGGCGATGGATTGGCCTGGCGCGGAGACGTAGAGGAGGTGCAGGATGTGTAGCAAGAAATTGTTGAGCTCGAAGTCGAGGAGGGTGATGCGGCCGGAGGGGAAGATGGGTGGAGGAAGTAAACCTGACGGGTGGAAGAAGGCCGAGTAGATGCCGATTATGGCGGAGAGGACGGCGATGAAGCGCAGGCAGAGGACGCCGAACAAGGCGGCTCGCAGCCGGAGGGTGAGAGGTGGGCAGGTGGTTAGGGTGAATTCGGCGGTGGTGGGCGAGGGACGCCGGATTGTGAGGTAGGGTGTTGTTGTGAGCATTTTCGGTTATCGATGGGGTTCATTTAATCGGATATGGTTGTGTATGTTCGTCTCGTGGCTCTCGTAACGAGCGGAAGTTCGAGCGGGAAGCTCTCGTGGTGTCGCAACCCCCTTAAGGTCTGTTGCTGTGCAAGTCGGGATGGTTAGCTATCTAGGTACACAGAGGAGCGCAATTGAGAGAGGTAACGGGTTCAAACACACTTGATTATCACCGGTGCATCTTGTATATAGATAATCACATAGACCCGTTCGGCCAACAAACTTGGCGTCCTTAACTTCTGCTGTAGTGACCGACCTAAATGACGTTCCCTCAATGGAAGCGCGCCCGACGTAGCATCTCCAAGTCCTTATCTTATCACATCCATGCTTGGCATCCAGCACAGACCACTCACCCTCTGTCGCGCCTACAATGCCACAGCGTGCTGCCCCAGCACCTTGGCTTGGGGTATATGTATTAAATCCAGCGACTAAACTTTCGACTGTAATGGTCAAGGTGGGTTTGAAGGCACTTGATTTTCTTAATGTCTCTATTCCATGTCCAAATCTGGAAGCCCAGCGGCGCCCAGCACGAACCTTGCGGTGGTCACCCACTCGCACGGGTAGCCTGCGATGCTGCGCGTGGCCCTAAGCAATGAAGATGATACTTGAGGGAGGTTCCACTCTGCAGAGGCATCTTCACCGTCAGGTGGCGCGCTGGATTACGATCGCTGGGGGTTTGGGATAGAGCGTTGAGATGGAGATGTCGACTCCTGTTTTTTTGCGCTTTTTTCGCTTTTTGTCAGGTAGCTTTCTAATAAGAAAAGGATAAGCAATCGAGTCTTGGCCTCTTTGGTTTTTGAATTTATCGGCAGGAATAGGAAAAAACGAATTGAATGCGTGCCTGCAGCTGGAGTTGAACACTTGTTAAAGGTGGAGACCAGTATCGCGGTAGCTTTTTTGGTGTTGTTGGTTTGCACTGAGCATTTATGAACGTACAGTAGCGAATATGTCGCAAAAGCAAATCCTCCGACTTTCCAACCTGCTACCGTCGTGGAAGGGAAAAGAGATTATTAAAAATACCTGTCGTAAACTCTACCATCCAGGTCATTTTCCATCTTGCGACAGCTATTGGCAGTCACCTCTGAGCCTCTTGGCTCTACTATGGTGATGGAGAGAATATGGTTTTACATCCTTGAAAACATTCTCAACGACTCTCTTGGTGTAGCTTTTCTGTTCACGGGGGAAGATCGGTGCGCATGATCTGGTAGGTACCGATTGGTACATAAAGGAAAGCAAATCCAAGGTTGGAGTGTAATACTCGTGATGTCTGAAAGCAGTCTTGGATGAATCATCATCTCCGTCTCAAAGACGAAGCGGAGTTCTCGTGGTTCTGGCTGCAGACAATGACACTACGGGCTTGAATCATGAGTGTGCGGGACAACAGGCACAAAGAGGAACACTTCGTCAACAAAACTGGTTGGTTAGAAGTTTATCAGATAGTTTTGGTATGTCGCTGCATCGTCATTCCGGGCGGATTGTTTGATAAGGTTGCCCATCGCATGGATAGAGGCAGCAGATCACTGTTACTAGATACGTGTGATCTATCCAAGAAGAAAAAAATATGAGCATGGCCTGGTTTACCTTGTGCTTCACCGTTAGATCTTCATTCCCAAAAAAGAAGTACCTTCCCTTTACACCGTACTTAGTTCAACGCATTTGCACCGATCCTGGAACCTCAACACTGGCGCTTCTTGATCTCGAGCAATGTCTTCATTATCACGACCTTTCTGGTCTTCGGTTAGCTTAGTTGTGAGTGCTTCTTATCTACCCTCTTGGTGGGCCTTTGGATGCCTTTGGTCTTGATACAGTTGTGGGAGGTATATGTGATAGTGTCAGAAGAATAAATGATCACTGCATGGCATCAGGCCATGCCATGTCATATTTCCCCGACCCTGCTAGTCATCCATCTTCCCACATCCCTCCATTCACCCATCCTTCCTTCCCTTTTTCTTCTTGGCCTTGATATTACAGAACCTTTGCTCAGAATCCTGGCTACATCCACAACGCCTTGCTCTTCATTTCATCTCCCTTCTTTCTACCCGTATTAAGATTTGTTTACGAGCCAAGCGAATTTCTTCTTGGTGGTTGACTCGCCACCTGTTGACGGCTCTACTGTTATACTGCGCTGGTAGATATCCTGTAGACGAGATGAGACGGGTCAGCAATGGTATTCAAAGAAGCGAGACGGACAGATCCGACAGATAAAGGAATTGCAGGGGTATCGACGCCAGGGAAAATCAAGGGGGGAACAAAGGATGCAAAGGATGCAAAAGCAGAAAGGGCGAGATCCATGGCGGGGAAAAGAAAAGAAAAAGACCAACCTCTTCATCCGTCGGCATCTTCATATCAAGAATCAACTCCCTACTAGGCTCGTGCTTGGTCAAGTTCGGATACGGCTGTCCTTGGCTCCTCATTATGGGCAGCAACACCTCCCCAAGCACCTCATACTTCTTCCAATTAATACGATCATTATTCGGTCCCACAAACGTCCTGCTTCCCTCCTCCGCCGAGACCAGATCACGTCTGTGCAAGGGGATGAACGGGATCCTCGGTAGCGGCGTGTTCTCCCAGGCCAACCGGTAAGCAAAGTGGCTCTTTTGCGTGCCCATGAGCAAGACGAGCCGGGCGAACCGCTTTTGTACATCCTGCGAGACCAAATTTCGCGTCTGCGCTAGTCGGTGGATGGCGGTGCCGTTGATGCCGGCCAAGACGGCGGCCAGGCCGTTGTAGTTGTTCCTCGTGCGCAGTCCCTGAGCGATGACCATGAACCGTTCCAGGCAGGGCGCGCGATGTTTGGCTTTGTCACGGATGAGGATCATGTTGGAGACCCATTGGGCGATGTGGTTGAAGTGGGCGACCATGCGGTTGACGTTCTTGAGACTGCGGCACTTCTCTTTCTGGTCGGCGGGAAGGCTGACGTGGCGTACCATATCGCGAATGCGGATAGAGCTGAACATGATCCAATCGATGCGGGTGATCTCGTCGGCGACAATATCGGGGTCGATGTCCATAAATGTGTGATAGCGGGATTTGTTCAGCGGTAGATGCGGAGACGGTACCAAGGCCGCAGCTTCGCGCTCGTAGTCTTCGATGGAATGGTACGTGAATTTCGCGGTCGGGTCAGCCCCAGAGAGGTCTGAGCTGTGTGATGGACGTCGACGATCATACGCGCCGGACTCGTCAATCTGCAATGAAGTCACAGACTCGGCGAGCCTCCGCCCTACGTCCCTGCCCGCCTCCTCGTCATCTTCGTCGACCGGGTCCGCCTTTGCCCACCACGTGTCATCATCGTCCACCACCTTTTGCTCCAGGTTCCCCTTCATCTGCCGGGCTGCTGCGGAAAAGACCTCGTTCGTTGCCAGGTCGCTTATTAGTCCTTCCAATCTCCTCCTCGTTGCAGGTCGGGCAAAGTCGCCGGGGTAGAGGGAGAGCCATTTCGCGACAACCTCAATAACACGCATTTGGCTTTCAATGCTTAGCAAAGAGGGCATGTCCGTGTCGTCCTTTAAGCGGTCCAGCCGCGAAAGGAGTGCGCTCATTAGCTCGCATGGCGAAGCGAACTTTCTATATAAGCACAGGAAAATGTCGGCAAAGTTGGTGTCGGCCCTCATCATCTTTGGGGCTATAATCCTGTCGACAAGCTCTTCGAAGGTAACACCGGTAAGTTTCGGTGCGTCTTCTTCCAAATAATCCTGGTTGCGCTGCATGATAACCACATCGTCTGATAAACGGTGACTTTCTGCATCCGACTCTTCAACGTCCAAGAACGTTTCCGATCCCTTTTCCAACCGTATCCCTGGCGTACATAGCGTGCCGGACAAAGCATGTGGGGGGCCATCCTCAGGGATGTCTGTTGGTTGCGGGCTGGAAGCGCCGTACTGTGCGTGTAGATATTCCATTCTCGGCGACCTCGAAAGTTGGGATCTCTGATGAGGACCGTCACCGGTGGGAGGCGCAAAGCCCTTTAGGAGCGAAAAGTCGGAGCTTGCTCTACTGTGTTTGCTGTGCTGGCTGATGGGACGACCGTTGACTTCGGGGGGAGCATCCAGGTTGGCGGCTGAAGCAGCTCTTCGTCTCGAAACGGACCTTTGCGGCCTCTCTTGCGTCTCTGCTTACGAGACAAGTTAGCCCTGCCCTGTGAGATACTTTTATGTCTTGCTTGTGTTTCCGTGACAACGCACAGAGGCCTCCTGTTCGTGGAGCACCAGGATGGAGCCATCGCGGATCAACGGGGGCAATAGTCGCATGAGAATGCTTGCATGTACTATCTTCCACTTACCTCTTCTGCTGGCCAGGATGGCGTCGATCATGGTCAAGAGGGTTTCACGAGCGCCGCCGGGAATATTGGACGAGATCCTAAGATGGGCAACACACGAGGGAAAGGTGTGTGCTACGGCGTTCATATCCAGCTGCCGTATGCTCGCAGGGGTGTCACATTTCGTCGCGACAAGTATGGTTGGTAGGGAGGAGTTGGCCAGGGAAGCTGCGGCACAGGCGTGTATTGTCAGACAAGTGTCTCTTGGGGACGCATTAGGAAGAAGGGGAAAGCTGGAGAAGCTCACTCATGGTTGGGGAGAGATCATGGACGCTGTCCGTGTTGGTGACGTCGTACAGAATCAGGGCGCCGTCCATGCGGGGGACCATATGGCCGTCTATTTGTTTGGGCCATTGTATCGACTGGCCAGGGTCAAGGTCTTTGAAGCCGTCAAGATCCAGTTCTACGAGGGTAACGAGGTATCGGGTGCCGTCGATTTCCATGCGCAGAGTCGAGACGTTTAGCTCGGGCGGTCGTTGCAGGCGGAAAGCTCGCTGGACGAAGGAAGATTTGCCCGCGCCGTAGGCGCCAATGACGGCAATGTTTATGGATGCCATGGCACGTCTCGATCGCGAATGATCGAACTTGCGAAACCAAGTCATGCCATGTCAGTATAACTGTTTATCTGGCTAAGAAAAAAAAGAAGGGTGTAGGTTGTAAGGTGGTAGTAGTATGCGGGAGGCTCACCCACGGCGTTGGGCTGTCGACTCTCAGAGACTCTTTGCGAGGCGGAGGCCACGGTTGTTGCGGATCATTGCGATTATAGCTGTAAGTCGATTCGGACTGGGGACTGGGACTAGGACCCGGACTCGGACTGGGCGCTACGTGACTGGGAGCCGGGCTAGGATGGGAATCAGGCGTGGTGGCAGTGTCGAGGGTATGGGTATTGGTATGGCTATTGGGCGCGCCAACGGGTTGGCAGAAGAAGGGATCGTCGAGAATGGCAGAAGCAAAGGAGTCGCGGTAATTGGAGGAGGGGCCGGGGCCGGGGCCGGGGCCGGGATAGTCGTCGTCGGCTGGCAGCAAAAAGGTGCCCTCGGAGACGAAGAGCGATGGCGTTGCTGAGGTCGGCTGTGGTGTTGACGAGATTGACGAGATGGCAGCGGCAGAAGCGGAAGTAGCGGTTGTGGCGTCGTCGAAATTGGAGCTTCTTGTTTGTAGGCAACTTGTAAGAACTGGCTCGTGGGCTGGGAATTGGTGGTCGAATTGGTGGTGGTGGTGGTGGTGGTGGTCCTGGATGAGATGTGGATCGGCAACACTCGCGGAGCTTAGCGATGGAGTGCCCGTGGTGGTGTCTACCTCCACACTACTAGAGATATGGCCTTGGAGCGGCAGTTCAAACTCGACGGAGGCAGACAGATCAGCCGGCAGCTCCAGGTGTCCCAGGTCCAGGTCCAGGTCCAGGTCCAGGTCCAGGTCCAGGTCCGGTCCAAAGTTGGGGACCTTAGGGAGGAGCTCGGGCAATTGATCGTGAGCTTGTTCTGCAGCGTGACCAGACCCCGTGAGACCGAACATGGCCCTGACTTGCCTGATGAAAGCAGGAACGGTTGTAGGGTGGTGGTCCTGCTGTAATTGCGACTGCGACGGTTCGGCGATGGAATGCGACGGCGCGGGCGGTTGCGACTGCTGCTCCAGCGGGTGGCCTGTCAGTGGTTCCGACAGTGGTTCCGACATGGGCACTTTCCTTGGGGGAAGCGTTTCGAGAGGATGGAAATTTCAATGCTTCAATGCTACGGCACTGACCATGGCCCATCTCGACTGAGCAACACGGTGATTAGGTTAATAGTTACGCAGTAATATTAATAGGTAGCACGGATCTCGGAAACCGCTGAGAGGTGAGTGGTGCCAATGAAAAACCCCTTTTTTCCTCATCTCGCAGGTCCCGTCCGCGGCCCAGGGTGATGGCTGATGGCTGATGGGGGGATACCTCAAGTGATGGGTCAGGTCAGCGAACAGACGGTCGGGTACCTTTTTTTGTTCAAGGTCTAGATACCTGTGAACAGCCAGGTACCTCTAGCTTCCATACGATTCACATACAAATGCAAGTACCTCCCTTTACCGACCCCATAAGGTGTCAGGTATCATGGACCGGCACACAGCACAAAGATAGGTGATGCCCAAACAAGCTCCCGCTGCTAACAAGGGGAAACTGGGGACGCCATTGGGGCCGGACCCTTGGAAACACGGGGGATTTGAACAAACACCAGACTGGCGGGGCTTCCTATTCCAGCATTCACGACATCCACATGGGGTTTGCTTTTTTTTTTTTTTTTTGTTTTTGAGTGCAGTCTCTTTCGTGATGGGACAGGGCACTGTTTAGCTCTTCCGCTTTTCTCTTATGATTTGTCGGCACTTTGCAACGGCCCGGGGCCCGAGACAGCTTGTTGTCAGACCGCAACTGGTCATTCTTGCTTTTACCATCAACCAGAAAAGAAAAACCGAAGAAAGAAGACGAAAAAAGGAATGCGGAATGACGATGGAGAGCGAAAAAGAAGACCACCAACAGCAGAAAATCTGACGACCTCCACTCAAGAGGAACAGAAAAAGGACGGAATGGGGTCCGGGGGTGCTGAAGGCGCGGGTCGGCGGGGGTCTGTTTAGCAACCTACATAGCCAAGCACCAGCCAAGCACCAGCCAAATGTCGCCTGTTCCTGCAGTGCTGCAGGGCATTTGATGGTGAGGTGGATTCCCATTGATCGGTGCTTCTTTGTTGTGAATGATAGACGGCACACACAGAATAGAAGCAAAGACGGCATGGCATGTCCATCACCTCATCATTTTCTTAGCACCGCATCTCACAAAAGACTTGTTGTTTTCCGCGATAAACCAGACACTGGCCAAGCTGCAGAGAGCCATTGTGATGGGCCAAGTAGAAATGTGAGAAGGTAGGAGAACGGAGGCCTTCGAATATGTTGGGGAAGAGAACACAAAGTCCAAGCTCTGAAGAAGAGAAGGGTTTGGGCTGACCACTAACACGCCCAATTAGGAAAGTAGCCATGTACGATTATCCATCCCCCTGGGCCCTCCAAATTCAAGAGGCCGAGACGACGAAACAGTTCTGAAGTCTGGACCTTTCTCAAACTGATTCACTCCACTGATCTTCCATCAGCCAAGTGGGTATTGAAGTTTGAATATGCAACTGCGTGTGACCTCCGGTGGCTTGACGGAATCTGATTTGCGCTGTCAACTTGAAGTTGTCTACCAGACATATATATATATATATTTATATACTGTATATAGCATAACAACGGCTTCGGACGCCTCGACGATAACACAACGACACATCCCTCCGAACAGTGGGCATGTCCTGCGGCGTCCGGGACAGTTGCATATCCACATCGAGATTGTCTTTGGCTCTTCGAGGCACTCACGACACCTCACCTCTCCAGCAACTAGACAGGCGCTGCAAGGGAGTTCAGAGCCTCAACCCTCGCTAGGTCGGACCGATGGGCAAATCCGAGACGGACGGGCAAACCTGGCGCGCCACAACGTCACAGCATCCGTCACGGCAGCCGTGCCAACGGGGTTAAGTCTCCCATTACGGACGTATCATCAATCTGTCCACGGGCGCGCCGCCGGTCGGTATTCGGGCGGAAAACTCGGAGTGCAAACACCCCAAAAGAAAACATCAAACCTTTCGCCCGAGCGGATGGCAACGACAACGAGCACAAGAGAAGCAGGCAAGCAGCCGAGAAAACGGGATACCGCTTGCCTACATATTAATATCCCACCATGTTTGGTGACTCGAGATGGATGGTGATATGTAGCAGCGTCGTGCCGTCTGACGTTGTCAAGAAAGCCCCCAACTCAAACCACCGCCACAACTTCCCAGAAAGGCTGTCGCGCGTAGCACTTGTGCGCCCCAAACATCCGCTGCCCAGAACCGTCACAGTTCCTCCGTCTTAGGCTCCGTGCCTTTCTTACTGACCGCCCCTACGCCCTTCCGCCCTGTCCCGTTCATTTCTAGCCACTGTGCCACCCGCCGGACTGCCTGGCATGCTCGCAACGATAACAAGCTGGAGAACCTGGCGAGCCGGGCCCGGAAGAGCAAACTCCAAAAGGGAGAAAAGTCGGGGCCCCGCATAATGGCAAGCCGCTCTCGCGCTGTCAGTGGAGGTCGGACCCGAGCCAAGGGATGGCTGAGCATCGGCGAGCTGAGAAGGAGCAACGGTACAACATGTTGCTGATCGATGCTTAATGGAATTCCATCCTTGTGGGAAACCCAGATCGAGGTCGCCGGCCGTTCTACCTATCTCACACTCCTTGTAAGTTCTTGGCCAAAGTCTCACCTTGTTTTATTACACGGTAGGGGTACGCCACGTTACTTTTGTCTGCTAAGGGGAAAGCTTCATTCCTAGACTTGGCAGCTTGTCAGGGTCGCTACAGGGTGAGCATGCGCCCTTTGCCCGCCTAGGAAGCGATTAACAGCAGCCAGTCGCCTCCTGTTGAACCGGTAAACAATAAAGTCAAAGCAATCCCAATAGATCACGGCGTTCGTGATGCGCAAAGGGGGCAAGGCGGGTGTGCTCAAAACGTCTCATCACAGACTACACTGGACAACACCCAATTGTCTGTCTTTATAAGTCACGATCCCCTCCATCATCGGTACAGGGGCGTTTAGATGGTCCAGCTAGGTAAAGCTTGAAGAGGCAAGCGAGGCACGAGTGCAAAACACCCCCTCATCCCATTCCAGTTTGGTCTAATCCTCAGTCACGGGCAGAAATGTAGCCCAAGTGACACACATTGTCAGATTGTCTCTCTCGTCCGTGTCGCTCTCATCTGCAAGATTCCAAGGCAGCAAGCGTGCGCCGAGTTCTCATGAATGATGTGACCATGGTCGAACCTGGCCGGCATTTGGTTGCCCGTCAACTGGTCGCTACCACGCTGTTTCTATCATGATCTCATGCACATAAACATTGAATGCGACGGCGCGTTGCTACTGTATTCTGCAGAGCATAGTGGAATCAGTCGCTTGAAGAGCCATGGGCTAGAACTCGACCTGATTTCTTGGCTCTTGGCTACCAAAAACAGAAACAATAGGAACAATGGTTGGCGTAACGTCCAATTTAGCGATCCAGCTTTGCCCGTCATGTCAATCTTAGCGAGGGATCATATGCAGACAAAGTTCGCCTCTGACCAAAAAG